TTTCTGAGCTCTATATTCCCAGAGGCTGGGCAAATACTTGGGGAAGGATGTGCTTGTACTCTCCCTACTCCCCTTCCTAGGCTTTTACTTTGGGCTACATTTGGCAGCAGGGTACTAGTGGATGGGGGAGGGTTTGGTAGACCTTTGATCTGACCCTGTACAGCTGTTCTAATGTTTTTATGATCTCATTTATTACTAAAAAGAAAAAAAAATGCTTGTCTTTCTGTGACACTGAAGTGACTAAAAAATCAGAGAGAGACCTGAAAAGTTTAAATAAAAAATTCTGGTATCTGCAAGATGCTAAAAACAGGGTCACATTCATAAGTTAAATTGTTTCCCAACTCAAGTATTTTATGATGCATAATGTGAAATATGGCAAAGTCAGCTCAGGAGTTTGCAGTGAGTACTATCTGTTCTGAAAAGGAAGAAATTAAAGCTACATACAATAGACTTCCTGCTGGGAAGGTGAGAGGGAAGGGAACCCAATATCCCAAAGGATGCACTGGTATAAACCCCAAACTAAACCAAGAGACATGAGTCATCAAAGCTACAATGTTATTGCAGAAAATCCAGGAAGCCAGACCTAAAAGAGGAACAGAAAGGAAGTGGGGGGGAAGATAGAAATAAAGGGAAAGAACAAGAAAGAAGTAATTTAAGACAAGAAAAGATAACTTGGAGAGAATTGCCTAGACCTGAAAATAATGGAGGTAGTCATACCACCAGACTTCCAGGCTGACATACATTTGTGAGGGCCAACACAAGAGTCAATCCAATACATCCCCATTATCTCACAACCAGCATGAAGTCTTGTGGTGAGCTAAATTCAGAAGCAACTCATCTATAAACTAACACTTTATGGCAAGCAGGCCTATGGTTCAGACCAGCCTTAGGATCTCCCTGGAGAGAAGAGAGAGGGCAATAGAGAATCAGTTCTTGCTCTACAGCTTGCACCCCCATGCAGACAGCTGGGATATAGGTTAAAGATGTGGAAGCCTAAAGGAGGGGGAAGAAACGCAAAAGAAGGAACCCTACTTTTAAAAATCTAATATCTATGTTTGTGGTGTACATTTTTACTTTGGTTTGATTAACTTTTTTCAGACTTGTAATTGTTGCCTACCTACAGTAAAGCAGCCTTGGGTGATGCTGAGAAATATGAGACACACTTCTTTGGGGATAAAAGGTTTGCAAAGCAGCGCATTCAGGCTCTGCTGGTAAACCTGCACCCTCCAATCTAACAGAGAGATGAGGAGTTTCTTCTGCCAAGTTCCAAAGCCAGGGTGCAGTAGCACTGCACAGTGTGAGGCTCCCCACACTGGGAGCCCTGCTGTCACGATCCATCCTTACAAACAGGATTCGTGGTCGTTCGTAGGGGTGATCTCAGGGTGCAAAAGAACCAACACAGTACAAGGGGATTTGCAGTGATAATCAAAACAAATGCAGTTTTATTGAAATAACTACAGCAAAAATGTGATAGAGGGATTAAGGGAGAGAAAAAGATAGAGAAAGAGAGAGGGAGAGAGAGAGGGGGATATATCTACCAAGGTAGAGACAAAGTCCTTTGGTCCAGTTCAGTCAAGGATCTGCCTGTTACGCTGGGGAGATCTCAAAATCTCTAGCTAACTCAGAGGGTTTTATTATTGAAAATTGTGAGGGGGAGGGGGGAATGTATACAATAGGGAATAGATGTAACAGGTAGTCCATATTCTCAGTAGTAAATGAGAGCCATTGTTTTTGTGGTCCAGTGGTCACAATCTGCAGGCAAACATCTCGCTTCGGCCAGTTTGCCTGCCCCACACACCTCCCCCGGGCTGGGGGTTTCAGTCCCAGTCCTTGGAAGGAGCAGAGGGGCCTTTCAGGAGTTTCGTGTCTCAGTCCTTGATGGAGAGGCTTCTTACATCTCAGTCTGTCTGTTATGGTGGTTGTAAAACAGGTGAGGGTCTTCTGTGGGAGATCACCTGAAACTCAGGAGAAGTCCAGCCAGGCCGAGAGGTGGGACAGCTTCCAAAAGCTATTGATGCAAACAGGGCACTGTGCCCCCTTCTTAGCATACAGCAAACAACACCTGTGAAAACAATAGCTTAACACTGAGCTTTCAGGTCTCAGGGCCTTTGGCATGTGACTTTCTCCTTCAGAGCCAGAGAAATTCTAGACGGGGGGGGGTCTTCTCTTCAGTGGTCCCCCCAATGACAGTCGTGAGGCAGATGAGGGAAAATTCGGACAGACTCTCACACCTGCAAAGCTCACACTACAAAGCACTGCAGCCCTGGACAGCCCTCAGTCACCTCAGTATTTACAGGCTTCTTCTTATCAATGCAGACTAAAACTGTACTCATTTATACTTATTGTAATGTAGTCCGGGCTTAATTGTGTTTTTTCCCCAGTAAGAAATCCCAGTCTTTGTTAGTCTTTGAGACTAACATGCAGTAAAAGCCCTTGACAGGCACTGGTAGAAATATGGAATTATTGAGCATTCTGTAAAGGAATGGTAAGAAGCTGCCGTCTTTCTTTAGGGCTAATTGAGTAGTGATTAATGGCTGTGATTACTTCGCTTGTCTTTAACCCTGATGTCACTAAGGAAGGGTGGCTCAACATTTTCTGTGCCATGTGGCAAACACCAGTTTTGAATATGTCAGATGGAAGGACAACAACAGCATAAATTGGTGCTTGTCTGTGCCCAAGTTGTGCCGCTGAGCACAAGGAAGCACTAGCAGCTCTTCCCTGATGCCTACAGCTTCTCACTCTCACTCCTGCAGAAACAGCAGCTGTGGTGGGAGGCACTCAGAGAAAGAGGCAGCATTGCAGACCTCTCTCCTCATGCCTGTACAGCAGAAAAGGGGCCAACTGCAACTCACGCTCAAGATTTCAGACAGGTAAAATGGGATGTATAAGAAGAAAAGCAGAGAGAAGAGTGTCATCTGCTGCCATGGACTGCAGAACAAAACTTGCTTAAAATTTGTCAGCTCTTTAGTTTTCCTGGTAGTATAAGTCTCAATAATTTTAGGAATAAAATTGCCAAGTATTTTCACACCTTACAACTCACTATTCTAGATTTCCCTTATCTGTTTCCAAGAGTTAAACCCTCCTAAAAAGAGTCCATATGTGGAACACTGGTTTCTGTCATAATGTTAATAACTTGTCAAAACACCAAACATTTTTTTCAGCTTTTCTTCATCCTTCCTTGTTTTTCCCTTATTTCCTCAATTAAGTTGATTGATATACTAAACCTTCAAATAAACAGGCAGACAAAGAAACCTATTTATAAACAGCTTGTGAGACTCTCCATAGATGAGAATTTAGGATGTGGTTTCCCATCAATTTAAACATCATCTAGGCTGTTGTGCTCCTGCTACCCCCACTGCTGCCCAGGCATCTTTCATTAAGACTTTCTTTCACTAACTCTTCCACAGCAGTACAGGAGGCAGATTGAGATGGAGACTAAGCCACTTTATGAGGTGCAGCTGTACAATTTCCAGTGGCTAAACTGTGGTGGAATAGGGCAAATCATAAAATGGTTTGGGCTGGAAGGAATATTAAAGATTAGGAAGGAACAGAAATAATAAAGAAATCCCCCCTGCCAAGCCTTCCACTAGACCAGGTAGCTTGCAGCCCCATCCAACCTGGCCTGGAACACTTCCAGGGATGGGGCATCCACAGCTTCTTTGGGCAATCTCCTCCAGTGTCCCACCACCTTCACAGTACAGAAGTTTTTCCTAAAGTCCACTATTAGGTTCACTGTGGAACAATATCCTTAGACTATATGTGTAGAGTGAAAAACTGCAGAAAGCTCAATTTTATGCCAGCTGTGGGTAGGAGGAGATTTTTCAGCTCCTACAACTTGTAATGTTATACAGGGATATAGCATCACAAGCTACTTCCAAGAAGTAGAAATGGGTGCATCTGTGGCTAATGTTTCAGAAACATCTAATTAGGGTCGAAGGAAAGTTGAGGCATCAAGGCACTGCTTCACAAGGTTAACCAGTTGGGGAACAGGGAAAGAAGATAGATATAAGAAACAAGTATTCACTCTGGGGGCAGCTGGGAAGCTGCCTGGTAGAAAAGGACCTGGGGGTGCTGGTAGCAGAACATGAGCCAGCTGTGCCCAGGTGGGCAGGAAAGCCAATGGCACCTGGCCTGGAGCAGCTGGGCCAGGGCAGGGATTGTCCCCTTGTACTCAGCAACAGTGAGGCCACACGTTGAGTGCTTTGCCCAGCGCTGGGCCCCTCACTATAAGAAAGACAAGAGTCCAGAGAAGGGCAACAAAGCTGTTGAAGGGTCTGGAGCACATGTCCTGTGGGGAGTGATTGAGAGAGCTGGGGCTGTTTAGCCTGGAGAAAAGGAGAATCGGAGGTGAGTGACCTTCTCACTCTCTACAACTCCCTAGTAGAAGAGGGTAGCCAGATGGGGGCTGGCCTCTTCTCCCAGGGTATTAGCAGCAGGGTAGGAGTGACAGCAGTGTGTCATAAACTGTGCCAGGGGAGGTTTAAGCCGACATTAGGACGAATTTCTTCTCAGACAGGGTGTTCAGACATTGGAATGGGCTGCCAAGGCAGGTGGTGGAGTAACCATCCCTGGAGGTGTTTAAGGAGAGACTGGAGACTTAGTGTCATGGTCTGGTTGACCAGGTGGTGTTCGGACACAGGTTGGATTCTATGATCTCAGGTATTTTCCAACCTTAATGACGCTGTGATTCCTCGGGAAACACGTTCTTTAAGTTCAGGAGGTGGAGCTGCAGCAGGTCGGTTCCTGCCCTCCCTTTAGAAACTCGCATAAAGCCGCTCAGCGTTTAAAACATGAAACCCGTAAGGCAAACCGAGCGAACACCACCGTGCTCGGCGGTCGGGCCCGCTCGGCCCCGCCCATGGCGGCGGGAGCGAGCGCCGGCCCTTCAGCGTGCGGCCCGCGCGTACACCACGTCAGGGCCCGCCCCTCCGCGCGCTCCCGCGCCAGCTCCGCGCGCCGTCTCCGCCCCTCGCCCCGTGCGGCAGGAGGCGTGGCCAGCCTCGTTCCCACCCCGCAGCGTAGATATAAAGGTGGCGAGCGCGAATAACGCCTCCTCTTTCCCCACGGAGCGGCTGCTATGGCAGTACACGGTAAGGCGGCGCGGGATGCGGCGTCTGCCGCTGCCCCGGCCGGGGGATGGTAATGATTTCTTCCTTTTGCTTGGACGTTCGGGAGGGTCGCCCGCAGTGCTGGTCGCGTAGTGCTTGAGGCTGGAGCCGGCAGGTGAAGCTCTCACCCTTGGATGCGCGAATAGAGCCACCGGAAAGGCGACCATAATCCAGCTATGGGGCCGCAGCCGCCCGTGCACGGTGCTCTGCTGAGAGCCGCGGAGGTGCGAGGGGACTTAGAGAGGACTAGATATCTCAGCATGCCCCGCGGGAGGCTCACTGCCGGAAGCCGCGTCCGAGGCGCGGGGCAGGCTGGGAGCGGTAGGCGGCAGTGACCCGCTTGGGTACGCCGGGCCCGCGCCATTTTGATCCCCACCCATGGCGGCCGGGGCCGTGCGGCGGTGCCGCGCTGCCGTGCCCTCAGCCGCGGCTGCTGCAGCCTTCAGGCCTCTGGGTTCCTGCGTAAAATGCAGGATAAGGCAGAACCACCTTGTTTGTGTGGCAGAGAGTCGGTGCACATGCTTGTGTTACCCGTACTTACTTTTGGAGGGCTCCGCCACTGGCATCATGACATTGCTCCTGAGCAGACTTACAAAAGTACTGTGAAATCCACACAGCGTCCCAAGGAAAAAAGACTTGTGGTGGTGTTAGCAGGGGTCCCAGGACGAGGGAAGAGACTATGTCCATGACAAAAGACCCACAACATTTAAGTGATAGCTGATGTAAATCATTAGATTGTGTTCTAGCTAATTATATTTTCTTTATATTTTTAAGACAATTACATTGCATAATAAAGAGATTTGTTATTAAAGTAAACCACTACCACCCCAAAGAGCTGACAGAAGCCTACTGTGTGCTTAAGATGCCTTTTTGTCCCCTCTCTGAAATGCTGATGTCATTGAACCCATAGTACTTCAAAAAGAACGGGAAATACCACTAAATATATCTGCAATTCCAGGCTCTTACCTGCAAGCAGAGATTGGGATGTGGGTGGATTTACATAGGAAGTTGTCAGGTGCATTCATTGTGTCTTTAATTAGCTTGTCTGACAGTCTGAGTCACACCTTAGATTACTGAACAGTAAATTTTTGGAACTTAAACCATTAGTAACCCTTGATTATTGAGTTTTTACACTCAGTAAGCATAAAGTTTATGGCATGCAAGAACTGGAAGCTTAACTTGAGGCTTTCTGTAGCTTTAATTGTTTAGTGATAGGGAACAAAATGTGTGATAGGTTATCTTTCATGGCCCCATGCATTTAGTAGGTCTGTGTAGTACAGAGTGAGTTATTTTTTATAAGGTGATAGTGTATTGTCACGAATTGCTTAAACTGCTGAGTTGGTGGATTTTGATAATTGCTGCATGGTTTAAGCAGTTCTCTAAACCAACTTAAATCAGTTCTTCAAAGTGATTCAAACCTTTCCTTGAAAGGTCTTTGGACCGAGGTTTAATAGTGGTATGTGCAGCTATTTCTACAATGCTTTTCATATATGATTTCACATGGGTGTAACTTTAAACTCCCTTGTTGCTTGAAACTGCATTTCAAGCAGTCGAGAAAAGCTTGCTGCCTTTCTCCTGCAAGCTTGTGATTTAGTATTTATCATGCTGCTTCTAGAGATGGTGTTGATGATTATTGCCTCATAATGGGTGTGACTTACTGGCCTGGTAATATTACTCTGCTGATCTCAAGTTGTAAGGCTGTCCATGTTTGTTTTTAGGTGTGATGGAGAGGAGATTTTCATTGGTGCCAAGTACATTGTACATTAAGGTAACAGCTGTTCAACTTTTAATGTTGCTATAGAAATGCATTTTTGTTTTAGACTAAGTCAATAAATACTTGTGTTTCATAAGTTGGTTTCTGTATTTTATGTCTGTCAAAGTATGGAAAGTGCCAGAGAGTTGACAGTTTTGTATGGCTACTGAGCAGGGCAGAAAGAAAAAACTACATTGCATTTTTATAACTGCTGTCAAAGTAATAAGTAATTGATAATTTTTGGGTGTGGTGCTCTTTGAGTTAAAGTCAGTGTGTAGGTCAGTTCTTAGTTGGACTTCTTTTGCTTGCAGGTTTTTACCTTGACAGGTATTTCACCTGTTTCAAAAGAGTATTAAATTTTTTTATGAAAATGCCAATTTTTAGTGCTTGGTAATTATGTTTGTGACATAATAACATGGGAGATGATACTAGACCACAGCAAGAGATGTTATCTACTTTAAAATATAATGTTGCTTATTTTTAATTTTAGCACCTCATGGAAGGACCATCCCAAGTAGAATACTGGGTACACACAAGTGGATTTTCCTGAAAGCTGTGTATGTTCTAAATTATCTCTGGGGATAAGTTATCAACAAAGGGATTAGAAAAATATGCATAGGATTCAGTTAGTATGTCATTAGCTTTAAAATTGAGGTATCAGTAATTTTGGGCATCTTTGACATGGTCTAGAACTGCATGGGCTGGGGGTTGGGAATAGATATTTATGTTGGAGGAGCTCATAAATGCCTGTCCTGAAGTGTTCATACTAAATTTAAAGTTTACTTCAGTGTATGTTTTAATTGTGAATTTGAACTTTATTGGGAAATAAGTATGAAATAGTGTTTAGTCAAAGGAAGCAGGACATCTAGATGCTTATTAATATAAATAAGCGAATGCTCCCATATTTTAATAAAAATGTATTCAGTTTTTAAATGTATAGTTGTTATTCTCACTACTTTGAAAGAAAGAAAGAAAAAATTCCAGGATCTGTATTCATTTAAATTTTACTTATATGCTTTTAACCATTTGTTACAAAAGTAGAAATTGGTTGTTCTTACCGGCTTATATTATACATGAACTTGTTGTAATTTGGGATTTTACTCAAATTTCTAGAGTGGCATGAACAGTTTCTAGTATTGACAATGTGACATGGCCTGAAGAAAGATTTCCTCACAACAGGAAATAAAACAGAGGTAATATTTATTGATTAAACAGCAGACATTTTTTGTTTATGATAGTTGACTCCCTTTTCAGTACGGTGCTAGTGAAAGAGGTGAAGGTTGTCTTGTGGAATGTATGAGTGGTGTTACAGTTCCTGTCACTGATACTTGTGGATAATGGTGAATCATGCTAAAACTGCCAAACCTGGTGCATTGATCAGCAACTTCATAAGTACTGAGATCAAACCAAACTTAAGATTTTTTCAGTCATAAATCATCCAAGTTGGTGCTGGTTTAATGCTGTTGCTGTGTACAAGTGAGGTGCCAGCATGCACCAGGCTGTGAAGAAGAATGTTGGTGCAGTATTTAAACCCATCTCAGGTCTGTGTTAACACAAATAAGTATTCTGTTGCAGAAGCTTGTGTCTTCAAAGAGCAGAGAGGAGGAAGTGTTAGACTTCAAATATTCTGCCTTATAATGGGTAAATAACAAGCACTAGACAGGTGTGGTCAGGAAGTGTTGGTGGTGGTTGAAAGCTAGTGGTGTTTTTGCACTTCAGTCCTCTTGGGACTGTTAATTTAGGTCTCACTCAGATTGTGAGCATTTAGGAGAAGTCACGTTAATGACAAAGGTGGAATTTGATGGTAAATTGTAGTGAATTCTAAATTAAGCTGTCTCAGTTCCAGAGATAAATTACTTCTAGGGCTGAAATAATGTACTTGAAGGAGGCAAAAAGAATGCTCACAAGTGCTTACTGTGCTTTAAGAATGATAGCAGTGGTTTCTCCAAGAACTTCATTCCCTCCTAAGTATCTGAACTTAACATTTTTCAATGAAACTCACTTTACTGCACTGGTGTTTGGGTCCACAGGCTGGTTTTAGTTAAAAAGTAGGGAGAGAGAACATCTCATTTTCCTGTGTTGCTACACATCTATAACTTCATTCTACTCCTTATTTAAGAAAGGTACCTTTAAATACTTAGTTAACAGTACTTTGTTTTGAACAACCGGTTTTGTTCTATATGTGAAGTTCAAAGAGTGAAACTTCTTGTGCATCAGTAATTCCCCCTTCCTATCATAGTTCATACCCCACTTGAGCAATAGCTGGGCAAGAGAAGCAAAACAAATCTTACTGTGACATGACTGCGCTTCTGATTGAAGGTTCCCAGAACTTGCTGGGTGCTGATACTAATGCAGAACATGTTGAATAATGCAGTTTGGTCTGAGGCTAAATAGATGGGAAGTTGTATTTTGAGTAATGAAAGAAAACGTCTCTGAACTATTAAATGTCTTTTTTACAGGAAAACCCTGTTTTATACAAAACAAGTAGGAACAAGTGCTTTTGGCTTATTCAGGTATGTAACTGAAAATCTTCTAAAAAGAGAATCTTTCTGGTTCTAAGTCTAAAGTAACTGTTTACAGTTCGGATCTTTTAGCATTGTGATAGTTACAAACATAATTGATCAATTGATATGGTAAGTCATAGCTGGCATTTACAAAACACTTGTTCCCCAAGCACAGTGTGGGCTGATAGCTGTGCTTAACCTTAGCTAACCTAACCTTAGCTTTCAGACCTATGTGAAAAGTTTTAAATAAATGTTTACCGAACATTATTACTAAAATATAACAAAATGCTAGAGATTGTAATACAAAAACTAAGCGATCAGAAACGTTATGGAGTATTTCCTATTAAATTTTTTGTTCATTTACTGATTTTGTCTCATCTGTGATGATCCTATCCCGAACCTGAATTCCTGTTGAAAAACTTTATATACGGATCCGGAATCTGAGATGAGACCAAAATACTTTGTTTAAACTTTCTGGGAAGTATTAGTCTTTGTGAGTTTAGGTTTTTTGTTGGTTTCGTTTTGTTTCTTCAGAATTGGCAACATGTTAATACAAACTGTTGTGTGCTTACTTGCAAATTGAAATTTCTACCTTGGATGAACCATTTTACTTAGATCTTGTTCTCCTTTTTCAGTGATGAATCGGAGCACTTTGTCACAACTGCCTGACAAATGCAGATGATGTAACCAGAAGGAAGTGTAACGCCTGAAGAGATACTGTGACTTGGAGTGGGATGCCATGCTTTTAAAAGCCTGCGAAAACAGCTTTCATTTTTTTCAGTATATACTGTCTCTGCATATTTAAAACACCATCTTTCCAAAATACTAGGCTGTCTTCTGTAGGAAGTGTAGCAGTAATATTAGGGATGGAGTACATGGAAAACCCCTTGGATTTTTTTACCCTTTTAAAATACCATGGGTACACAGTCTTGCAGATACTAGAGATCTGTGATAACTCATGACTGGAGCTCACAAGCAGGCCCTGTAAAGACAAAAGAAAAAGACAGTGTCTACACCTGCATCACTGTATCTAGCAAGGGAGTGAGGAGTTGGGGTTTTATGAACTGCCCTTTCAGCAGGAGAAAACTAGGATCACAACAGTGGAACTGCCTTTTGAGGAATACACTGGCAACAGTACTGCTTGCTCTCTGGGGAAAAGAAGCTGGTAGTGGCAAAAGAGTTACATTGGAACTTGGTCTTTTGTCTTGGTTTGAAAAGACAGGTGTCTGCTAAGGAAGGCAGGAGCCTCCCTTAAAATCGAAGTAAAGGGGCATTCAGGCAAAGATAGAGGAGTAGGAATAACAGTTCTTTACTAGGAAAAATGAAAGTAAAAATGAAAATGCAGTAATACAGACCAACACTGACAGAGTCAGAATACAGCCTGACAACCCTGTTGGTCAGGTTGTTGGTAGCAGTCGGATGAAATGGTGACTGCAGTGCTGGAGTGACAAGTGTCATTCTGTTGAAGCAGTGATCCTGTAGAAGGCTGTAGTTTTCCTCTGAAGGTCCAGTGGTGGTGTAGATGGGCATGGTCTTCCTCTGGGAATCCAGTGGGAGAAGGCTGACTGTGGTATTCCAAATCTCATTATATCCAGGTAGGAATGCTTGGCTCCTCCCTCTGGGTGGAGCATCTCACAATTGAATCAGTCATGGAATGAGACCCAAAGGCCCGTGAACAGAACATGTCTTCCTGGAGGGAGGATTGTGGAAGAGATAAAGAAAACTGCCCAATTAACAGAATGATAAAAGCCCCATCTCTAACAGATGGCAAATAGAATACACACCCTCAGCTGCATCTTCCAACCTAAGTTGGCTTTTAACAGTCACTTAAAAAGAGCTGGTGCTGTAATGACAGCTGTATTCAGCAAGCTGTCCCTTTCACAGGTATGAAGGATCATAATTTGGATCATGAAAAGGATCACAAGTAAATTTAAAGGCAATTGATGATGTACATTAGGTAAAGTTGGCCTTAAAGCATCACTTTAAAGGCTTATTGTCAGGAATTCTTTATAACAGCAGAAAAATTACAATAGCATAATTAAAAATAAAGTGTCCAGCATGCTACTGAAGTGGATGCTAAGGATCTGACTGAACTCCAGGAGTGCTCAGTGAACTCACTGAGCTCCAATGGTTTGCTTATTAAGCACTGCCAGCTACTTTGGCTAAAGGCTGCTCCTTTTGAGCATGGAATGGTAAATCAGACTATTGAATATCAAGATCTGCAGAAATAAACTGGAAAACAGCTTTCTCTTCATTGCTTTCAATAATACTTGTTTCTGTTAACATGTTCCTGAGGGTGGTGTGGTTTTTCATGTGCTGTGCTTTGTACATGCTTTTTGAATAAAGATGAGGAGGTTAAAGTTGCATGTCAGCTGTGGATCAAACCACAGTGTTCCTTGACTGCTTGTACTTCTCAAGAGCTATGGAGGTAGTGTGGCCTTGTGCTGTCTGGTGCAGCATGTACTGGGCACACAAAGCTTCATGTTGTGCTTGAGTGACTCCAGGACAGAAACTACCGACTGCATACTCAGGAAGTCAGAAGGTAAGATTAGTGTCAATCTTCTGCCCACTGCAGATCTTTAGAAGGTGGGTGCTGTTAACAGCATCTAGTAGAGCTGCTTGACTGGTAAGTCTAGAAGTTGTGAGTCCTAGCTATGTGTCTTCTGGATGTTAAGATGTTCAAGAGCAGAGAGATAGTTGATCAAGTAGCAATATTTGGTAAGTACTTTGTTGGGTATTCAAAGGCATATATAACTTTGTTACAGGATCAGAAGAGTGGCACATGGCTTTGAAAATAAAGGTACCTTTATCCTTCAGCTGATGTTAATACAGAATGCTAACCTTTGAAAAGAATGCTATATGTATGTGCAGTAAACTTGGTGAAAGTGAGTTTATCTTGTGATGTTGGGGATGAAATAGAAGACTAAACGTTCAGGGTTGTGGGTGGCACTTCAGGTACCCAAAGTATTTCATGACAGTCTTGCTCTATGTTCTAAATAATTTGTTAGGGATGGTCTGGGAGGTAGGATTGGCAGCAATAAAGAGTGCCAGGAAATAGTTACTGCATATCAGTGTGGTGGAGGTGTGTCAGAATGTTAAATCGTGAAAAAGATTAGGCTCTCAGCACATAAAAGAAGGTAGATGTGGCCAATGGTAAAGTATATTCAATATTGAGTTGTAGAACTTTCTCAAGGAACGATCCAGTGCTTCAGAGCTACGGAAAATTGGTAGCCAGTTAAAAAATGTATTAGTAGTATAGGGCATCAAGTGTTTACAGAAGTGAATTACTGTTTTAACCATGACATGTTGCAGAGGATTTGGTTTATAACACTAGTGAAAATTATGTAGGAAGATCATTTTTATAATCAATTTTAAGATTGAAAAGATGGCTTTTTTTGCCTTGTGGGAAGGGGTTAATATGCTTTCAAACCAGTTGTGTTTTTCTGGTACAATTTCTGGAGTAGTGTTTAATATAAGTGAGATAAGGAGATGTAGTGTTTGAGAGTTACTGTGTGACGTGTTTGGAACATGTGGCATGGGATTTCTCTGCAAAAGCATTTAATGAAACTTCAGGTTTACAAAACAGATTGTGCAGAAAACAGCATGAAAGCATTTTGCTGCTTTTGTGCATTAGTCCAGTGAAGTCTTGCACTATCATTAGTGGAGAGCTAGAAGTGTCACATGGCTGTTAGGCTGTGGTCCAAGTAATTGGTGGTTAAACAAACTGTTCTGGAATGTTCCATTTATCAGTCTTAGTAACTGGGCAAAACCAGCAGAGACTTAGTAATTACTTGAATGTTGAGGTTACAAGCAAGAGAAGTACCTTGCAACCACATGGCAAATTCGAGAGTAGCTGCACAAATGCTTTGCTATGTTTGAAGTAACAAGGTCGTTATTAAGGTTGCAGGTTTTGTCTTGCTGAAGAACTTGTCTTACTGGTGAAGGCTGTGATCTATAATCAAGAGTTGCAAGTGAGTGAAACTAAGCTAGCAGTGGTTATCTTGCCACAGCACCCACACTGCTATGTGACTGCCATTGCTGATGTGATACCTGCTTGAAGTACCAGATCCCAGTGAACAGGAATTTCAGAATAAGCTGTGCTGTCTGGCTGCCATCCTGCAGAAGAGTGTGACCGTGGTTGCAGCTGTATAGTGTGCTGGTGTTGGGGTTCCTACCATCTTTCCTGCAGGAAAGCTCTTAACTATAAATTTGCCATATGAAGTTTGGGGTATGTGTTCTGCCATAAAAATTAAAAACCAGAAATGAGTTGATAGAGAAAAGCATTCCATAGGACATTCAAACATGGACACAGCGGAATCCGCAAGTGTTTGACTTTGCCCAAAGAGAAAGGTATTCTTTATACTGAAGAGTGTTTAGTCCTAACTGGTAGCTCTTCTTCACACTCCCTCCCTTTGTCCCAGAGGACAATCTTTGAGCTATCATCTGGAGTATGAATGAATTTAACAGAAAAATAGTAATTTCAGAGGAGTGGAGTACACACGGAGGCTTTATATGCATGTCTGATGATGTACATTCTTTATTTTTGGTGTTACACATGGTTTTACAAGTATTTTTGCTTGTCTGCCCTTGTATTTCCCTCAGAGGATATAAACTGGAAAAGTACAATTAGAATGATGAATTCTACTTCCTCTCGAACATCATGTGGCTTTTTAGTTGATAGTCCAGTTGAGCTATCAGGGCTATGAAGACAGTACTTCTCTGCCATTGTTTCAAACTTCCTGCAGGCTCCGGAGGACAAAGTGGTGTTTGATGCTCAGAAGAATGGCTGTATTGAGTGGGACAAAGTCTGCCTCGTTCAGTATTCTGTCTGACGATGATCACTATAAGGAACAGGAGAAGTATACAGAGCCTTTCCAGTAGTTTTCTTGGGAATTTTCTGAGGTTTTCATTTGTATTTGAATACTACTTTGCAATTATGACCTATCTCCATTTAAAAATATTTGAAACATGAATGATATATGGGCTCTAAAATCGATGAAGTAGTATGTTAATAAGTGTAGGGAGGGTAGGATTGGGAGGGGGCTGAAGTAAAAGCTTTTTTTCCCCCCTCTTTCTGAAGCTGATGTCACTTTCAATTCTCATGTTACTAAAAACAGTGGTAAGTGAAGTTCATTGAGGGCCCCTGTACTAGGACAGCCTTGCTGTTTAATTGAGGTGTGTTGGGTGGGAAAACATGAAGCACTTAGTGTGCTCTTACCCTTGAGCTATACTTCAGGCTTCTCACCAGCCCAATAAACACTATCTTTTGCCCTGAAACTGGAATTCTCCCTAACTGAAGGAGCACTCTCCCAGCATCAATGGTACTAGTTTTATTGTGGCAGGTGAAGAATGATTAATATCTGCCCCAAAATGAAGTTCAGTCTTTTTTGTGGAAGAAAGAGATGAATGGACTGTAATAAATGCTTGGCCCTTTGAAATTGGTAAGTTGATTGGAAAGTAAAGGTATTTTTAAATAGTCTTAAGATCACTGAAGAAGAATATACAGCTATTGCTATATCTGGGTTTCATCTCACCTTGACAAAATAGGAAATAATTTGCTCTAGGCTTACCTTGGTTTCTTTCAGAGGGAGGACTATTGCAGATACTACGGTCCTGTGAAAAGCATTTGAGACTTAAACTCTTGTGTGTGTCTCAAGGTTTAAGCCCAGCCAGTAACTAAATACCACATCCTACCTGCCCTCATAGGATGGAGAGGAGAATATGAGGAAAGGTAAAAGCAATAGGTTGAAATGAGAACAGAATTGAAATTAAACGTAATAATTGTACCATGAAGGAAGACAACAAAGGGAAAGCCCAAGATAAGCAAGTGATGGTATACAATACAATTTGTGATCACCTGCTAACATACCCAGCCTGGGTGATGGATCCGTGCCTCCTGGCCAGCTTCCCTCAGTTTATGTACTGGGCATGAAATGCTAGTATAAAATATCCTCTTGGCCAGTTTAGGCCAGCTGTCCTAGCTTTGCTCCCTCCTGGAGCTTCTTGAGCCCCTCCTGAGTTGCAGAGACTTCTGGTTGTTGCTAAGTGGTGCTACCCCAACATCCAACCGTTATCAGCTCTGTTCTCATACTGAATCCAAACCATGGCTCTAAGAAGAACCAGCTACTATGAAGAAAGCTAACTAACCCAGCTGAAACCTTGATGGTGTGTTAGCTCTGTCTAGTAGTTAGGTCATTTTCTGCAGCAAAAAGTACAGGTTAAACTGCTGTCCTTTGTTTCATGCACTCCACCAGAAAAGTACAATATTGAAACATGGTGAGGGGCAATTCTTAATGTCGTTTTGGCTTCATAACTAAAACAGTTCAGGGTATGATTATTCATTCCCCACAGTATATTAGAATAAGCATTTTTTGAAAGTAGTTGGACTATGTGGTTTCTGATCCTGATAATTTGATTAAACTGCCTATTTGCTACTGCAAATAGAAAGAGAAGTTTGGTTTGTGGGAATTAGTGCTCCTTTCCCTCTTCTTGTTTCACAGATTATAAACCACACAATATAAAAAATTTAACAGCAGGAACAGGAGTTACCTCTAAAACATCTTGAAATAGCAATTTATAATAGATACTATTTAAGTGCTGAGTGCTTCCTCAAAAACCTGCATGGCAGAGAATAATGTCTAGGCTTTTGAAAATATTTCTGAAGTAGTACTCTTACACTTGTCTGAACTGGCTTCTCTTCATTTACATGTACTTCAACTTAATTTCTGTTGCTAGTGAGAAGTTGTTCAGTATAGTTTCTGCTAATTTGACATACAGGATGTAAGGCTGCTGGAAGCCTTTTTCCATGTAAAAATATCTTAATATGGTGATCCTCTGGCAGGGGTTCGCTGCAAGATGTTTTGTCATGGTTTTAAATGCTATGAGAAGTTGTCTGGAAATTCTATAATACTTTCTCCTGAGAGTATTACGTACTTTCTAGTTTTATAATTGAAAAAGTAACACTGAACAACTGTAGCAACTGCTTGTATATTTTCTATAAAAGTGCAGTCCCTTTATGAGCCATGGTGGATATAGGAAAATCTAAAGCTTTTACCTTACAAACATGAAAAAATATGATTTGCTAGGAGCTGCAGATGTGAAGAGACCTATGATGTAAGGACCATTGACTTGCTGATGGCTATTGCCTGACAGCGCTAACTTTTAAGGGAAAAATAGCCACTCAGCTTTGGTTTTTGGTTGAAGAAACTTGACAGTGACCAGGGTGGTTCACTATATTGAAACTCTCTCACCTACCTGTAAGAGAAGAAGAGGAATTCTGTTATTCTCAGTAGTGCTCCTGGAGGTGCTGTCTCTTGGTTTTATTAGCTGTTTATTCCTAAGGGCTACTTGGAGTTCTCTAGTTGTGATTTTTTTCACTGAGGCGAGACTAGGGAATCCTGAAGTATTGTTGACTATTAACTAGTAAAATACATTTAAAATTACAAAAGAAGTATGCATATTTAGTCTTTCCAAAAGTTACATCTTTTATAGAAAGCCTGAACTTCTAGAGATAATCTACTCTATCTCCCACCATAAAATTTCTTACTCTGGGCCAAAGTTGGGACCTTGGTGTCCAAAACTTTTATATTGCACTCAGTTTTGTCCCAGTCTCTTAAAGATACTATTCCTCCTTTTCTATACTAGTCCTGTATTGATTTCCTTTTAGCAGTTATGTATTAAACATTAAAAACCACAAAATTCCGTAAGACTACTACATAAGCGTTCAGTATTAATCCCAGAAGGGATGAAAGAATACATGAAACTTCTGTGAAGGGAAAAAAAGAAATATCTCTGGGACTTGAGGATATAGTAATGAAATTGAAATATGTGATTAGTTTTAAAAACAAGACCAGCTCCTGTAGTTGATGTGATTTGACAGCTGGGATTTGCTCTTCAGAAATCAGAGACAGAGCCTGCAGATATGTCACTTATGAGGCAAATTGCAGATCTATCAGCAAGGACAGCTAGCAGGACTTCACGTTGTTTCAGATATGGAAGGGAAATACTTTCTCTACTTCTGTGTTCATACAGAGCTTTCTGCTGGAAAGCTTCAGGCTATAAAGTAGGTGTTAGGAAAAAAGAGTGGAAGGTGATAAAATAAAAACCTTTCCCTACTCACAATTAATGTAATAGGGCTAAAACTCAACTGTATTTTGTATAATATTCTCCAAAAAGCCATAACCATTTTTCAGAAATATCTCAATTCTGCAGAAATAGGCTTGGTTGAACTCACTCTTCTCTCCTTGACTATTTTGAAGTTTGGCTGGGAAACAGGCACCTTGAATTCATTAAAAAGGCAGAAATTAACGTCTGTGAAGATGACAGCCTTTTCTATAGCAGCAGCAAAAAGGACTATCAGCAGAATTGGCATCTGGCCCTGGAAGCAAAACATTCTGAGCTTCTGCTCAAGCTTCCAAAAGAAGCATGATAATGAGGTTTTAAAAAATTCCTGGGCTGTCTTGATTTCATATACAGGCTAATCCTACTGCTCAACTTTGGTGATTAAGATAAATAATATAGAAAATACTGTCTTGGGCCAAGCAACGGTAAGTTATGAAGTATTTATTTTCTGTGGTTCACTGAGGTAGTGTTCCCTTTTGCTGGGATTTAACCTTAACATGAATGTAGTCATTGTTGGGGTGCACAGACTCACTGCTTGCTAAAACATCTGACTGGCAGCTGGGATGTCAGAGGCTCAGAGGGAAAGCTGATGTGTCACCAGCACTACTATCAGCCTTATGGTGGAAGAGACCATTTGTGCCACCTTGACTGAGCTACAGAAAGCAGGTGAACTTCTAAGCTTGGAATGTCTCACATTTGGGGTTTGTTGGGTTGTTTTTTGTTTTGGTGTAGATTGGGGGATTTTGTGCATAGCTTACGTAAGTTTCTACTTTAATAGCCTTCCCTTCTTAATTCTGGTTCTAATTTTTTCCATTGTTCACTGAGACTGAAGCAGTTTGAAATATTTTCAGATTAAAAAAAAAAATTGTTCTGCACTTTCCTCATGGCCTCTTTTGGCTGCAGCAGGTCTGTATCAATACTGTTGATCTGAAATTTGTTAATAGTTTTCACGCATCAAGTTTACTAACCAGGACTGGTCTTTTAATAGATTTTTAAAGGGATAAAAGTTGGCACTAAATTACAAACCTCTGCCTTTTAGTGTACACAAGATCATCTCTTGGGTAAGAAATATTGTATAATGTTTCTTATGAGACATATAAGATGTGGATGTAGCAGTAAAATCTACAAATGCCTGACCTGGAAGGGTATGAAAGAATTTTGAAATTTCTGCAGTTAACTGTCATCAGTGATTTTAACTGTTTTTTATGGACATGCTCACTCAGCTATTTTTATTGATTCTGCTGTAACTAAGAATTGATGTATTGGCAGTAAAAATGCATATTCTTACACACAGTTGCATTGTCTCCTCTTGCTGCTCAGTATGTGCCTCCAAACACTGCTCTCCATTTGTACACAACTCCAGTTGGAAAATACAAGAGCTATTAGAAATATTTTGGTTAATTTAAATGTGGTGTCAATAAACAAGTTCACAGATTTATTAGCCAGATATTTATTCAGTCATAAACTGGTTTTTTTAATTGACCCTAATACATTTAAATTTCCAAAATGAAACTTCCCTGTAAATGTTCTTACTTACTGGTATTTTAAGATCTGAACTTTAAAAAAGAAAAAAACAACCTTTTATGTTTTTTATAGGATCCAAACTAACTGCAAATTTTTTAAAAAGCAGATTAAAAGCATAATATTCTTTATCTGTCCTCTGCAGATCGCAGAATAGCAATTTATTTTTTCTAGTTACAGGTGCTGTGAAAAATTAAAACTTTGCTTCTGTAAAGATCTAAACCTGTGCTTCTAGCAGCACAATACAGCTGCATTAGTTGTACCAGGTTTGAGCACAGGTTTTGTTGCCTGCACTGCCCTGTGCAAAACTGTGAAGAGATTGCTGGTTAAGGCTGCACAAGCTGGAAAGGGAAAAGTCATACACATGTGCTGAAGCTCTACTTTAGGTTAAGATCTAATTCTAGTATCACTCAAGGCCCATGTAGAAGTAGAGAGTAGATCTTCCAAAAGAAGATGACTGAAAAGCAGCAAGCACAGTCTGGAGTACTGATAGAGTCAGAGTTCTTCATCACTGTGCTCTGGTCTGATATTTGTGCTGTAAATGAGAACTCCATAGGGCAGCACTCTCCACGTATCTTTAAGAAATAAAATAAAAATTCATTTGTACAGAAAAGGTTGCATTGTCTGCTATTGGGATCCGCAGAAATGCTGCATTTTGGTAGTCACTTCTGCCTTACACCTGGCAAAGGTCATAAATGTGTGTGTGTGTGTGAGCTTGTTCTATTCTTACAAGGACCTTGAAGACACAAGGTTATTTGGGCTCACCCATCCTTGAAAGGATTTTTAGGTTCTTTGGTTACAGGCTAAGTAGCCTGGAACACTTGACCTGAAAGCTGTGGATTGCAGCTGCTGCATCAGACACTTTCCTGAGTAATCAGCCATGGAATTACTAGCCAGTTAAAAAGGGCTGGGATATAAGCCCAATTTCTGGCTACTGATCATCCATACCATAAAGGGTTAATGCAGTCTGACAGCTAAAGCCTGGGCAGCAGTTTAATATTTGGGCATGGATTAGAAGTTAAGGTGGGTGAGAGCTGTGGGAATGCAAGCTGTGCTCTCCATGTTTGCCTTACAGCTGGAGAGCAGCCCACGACCTGCCCCATCTCCTGTAGGCTGTGGCCATTGTGCCTGTGGTGTGCTGTGCTCCTCACTCCTGGGAAAGATGCCCAGAGCTGCAGAAGAACATTCTGTGACCCAGTGACATGCTGTCTGCCTTCGGAGATGGGCTTAGTGCCGTAAGTAACTTACATGGGGTTAAGTGGATCCCAAAGGTCTCTTCCCTTCAGCTGCCTTTTACAAGGGTGCCAAGTACTGGAATCCTTACGGCTGCTAGGCAGTGCAGGGATGTAAGGGCCAGGCTGGATGTGTGTTCTGGGGTGAAGGAAGGGCTAAATACAGCAGTAAGTTCTCTATTGACACTTTCATTTGTGGCTGTATTCGGTGAGTTGCAGCTTCAGCACTTGGCTACCTCACACTGCGCAAGTGGACAGGACAGCACCGCTGTCCTGAGATGACTCGGAGATGTTTTGGAGATGGATGCTGATGAGGAATGCTCTCTGCAGTTCTCTTGCATGAGTCCTTCTCATATGGCAGAAAGCATTAGGACATGGAGGAAACTTTTTCCTCCAACCTTTCCATGCTAATTTGAGGAAAATAGGGCAGTATATGGGGCAATTATCCTGTCACTTCTTTGCTGAATATCTTGTCTCCTCTTTCCGTGGAACTTTGCCAGGCACTGACCTAATGGTAGCATTCCACTAAGAGCTTTAAAGCATCAGATGCTTAGGGTAACAGAACTAGAAAAGGCAGCAGTTGTGTCCTAACTCTTGCCCTTGTACCCATAGCACTAGTAAAGCAATATTTTTTGGTCAGATTGGGAAGCCTTTTTCCATAGTTTTCTCACCCTTGATAAACTTGTGGGTTATTTGTATAGGAAGCTTGTGATTTATAGATCTATAGTGGAAAGAGGAGTATGTGATAGAGGGAATCTGGAGGAACATTTGCATGTATGCTTTTCCAGGAAGTGGAAAGGATTTGGGAAGAAAGGAACAGATTAGTGATTGCATGTTCTGCTTGCTGCAATGACAAGGTATTTCAATTGTTAGAGTGAAGAGCAGAATATTCCGTTTCCAGTAGTGGATATTGGCTAATAGAAAAATACAAAGATAGAGCAAGCATAGATACAATAGTACATTCTGGTGTGCTCCCCCAGTTTATGCAATTTCTCTACTAATTTCTGTTGCAAAATTTAAATTGGGGTGATATCTCTAGCTCTGCATTTAGCAATTTTAGATGGGTGTTTCTTGCATTAATTAGTTATTTTGGATGTTTATGGAAATACCTGCATCATGTGCCAGTGCAATCCCCCACCTTTAGCTCCATGTGTGTAAAAGTAGGGGTTTTGGTTTGGCTATCTACCTGTTTGATTTAATGTTTCCTAGTTCTTCTGCTGGAAGAATGAGTGAGCAGTTATCCTCTAGTTTTCCCCATGCCACTTCTGACTTGTAGGCCTGCATTAGGTTTCCTCATCTGTCTCATCTGTACCGAAGGTATAGGTTCTGAATATCTTGGCACTGCTTTTTTGCCAGTAAGCATGTGCCATTTGTAGTTCTTTGTTGAGAGGCTGGGCCTATTTTCTGAGTGACAATAGTCAGTTTGGGATGGCTTTCCGTTGGCATTTCCATAATACATGTGGAAGTGACTTCACTGTCTTTGGAGCATGCAAAAATAGAGTGCTTTCCTCCTCCAGTCCTCTTTCAATACTTGCACATTAGCCTACAGTGTACTGCAAATACATTGAATTCTACAGTGATTGCTCTGAACCCTCAGCTGGTAAACAACTGTTAAAACCTTCTAATTTAAGTTAGAAAAAAACTTAAGGTAATAACAGAATGTGAACTAAACTACCTTCTGCTGCTTCTCTTGTGCCTCTTTCTTACAAAGTCAGCTCTGGAGTAGTTTTTTTGGAGGTGGATGTACCTGTTGTTTGGGGATGATGTTGACAGAGAAGAGGCAGAGGCAACACCAGTGACTGATATTGGAAAAAAATACTTAGAACATAGATACTTTACAGAAATGAGCAGTTCCATATCCTTTCTTTCACAGGCAGTGTTGCTATAGCACAGACATAAAACAAAACTGAGAGAAGAATTTAACATCTTCAGTCTATACATAAAATTCAACAGCAGAAGAATTCATTCCTGGGAAAGCCTCATTCTTCCTCATTGCCAGGCTTGTTCTCTGCCTGCAACTATCTGGGCAAATATTAAGCAGAATGCAGGTGATTTTAACCTCAAAAGCCTTGAAATGCATTGTGTCAAATCTGTAGGATCAGACTCCTCTTCCATCTTGCAGAACTAGAAGAATCAAACATTAGTTAAAATTTATTTACTTTGGGTTTTTAACTGGGTGAGGGGAGGGGAAAGAAGCATCAATTCATGGATAGAACTGGATCCAGGGTAAAGAACTGTATCACAGAATGTCTGTCTGCTCCCACCACATGCTCAGGTCCATGTTCAGACAGGTTTTGGATGTCTTGGAGAATGGAGACTCTACAACCTCCCTGGGCAACTGATGCCAGGGCCTGGTTATTCTCACAGTGAAGAAGTGTTTCCTGATGTTCAGAGTATTTCAGTTTGTGCCCATTGCCTCTGGTGCTGTGAATCATACTGGATTTGCAAATGCTTTGTTTGCTCCTTTTGTTTTCTGGACTCAGAAGAAGTGGAGTGTTTGAAGAATCAGCAGAATCAAAGTTAACTTCAGAAATAGTTTAAATATAAGGGGGATTAACCCTGACTTTAAGAAGTGCTACCCTGCCTAGATTTGAAAAAGTTTGAATATGCACAAAGGATATAACTGGAAAGAATGTTAAAAGAAAATATTACCATTAGTTATGTTAGTAAAGTTCCTTTGCTGAATCATATGACAATTTTAGATGGTAAGCTACTTTTTATAGAATGTAAGGACTCTCAAATCTGCATATTAAAGACTGAGACAGTCATATATGAAAAGTATTTTTTCTGAATAAAGTTTCATATATGTGATTCATCTCCTTTTCATTAGTTTCTGACTTGCATTTTTCTCCTTAAACACACAGGCCTTGCATTTTATAATGCAACCTATCTTTTAAGACAGAGAATTTGACTGATAAAAGAGAGAAACAGCATAAACTTTTAATTAAACAGGTATTTCCCCAAATAGTTTTTTTTTACCAAGGAGATCTTGCAGGGCAAATAGGCCACTACCCAGCTGTGCACTACCTTGAATAAAATACAGCAATCCTTTCCTGAAGTATCTTTATAGATATATTAATATAACTTGGCAGCCTTACCAACCAGGCTAAGGGCAGGGAATGGCTTGAAAAGCACACTGGTGAGAAACCCCAGGAGTGGCTCATTGATTTCAGAATTCTGCTGTGGCAGACACAGCACAAGGAGCTTGTTTTGTGATGACAAGTGATGACATTTGCTGCATGACCAGAGTGATCCACCCTCTAGGGCTATAGCTGGTGCATTTCATAGCTCAAGTTCAGTGAATTCTACAGACAAGCCCCAATTTCTAACGAGTACACACTTTGGAAAGGTGAGGCATCATAAAAACTGAAGGTAAGATTCCTGATGAGTTTCCTAGATTTTTTGTTCTTTGTTTAGGATATGATTGTTTAAAGGTATGTAAGTTGCTCCAAAGCAAAAAATAGTCTCTTTGTCAAATTAAATTTATTTTTTGCTGCTTTATCTGTGCTACTCTGTAGTTGGTCTTGTTGTAATCACTGGTTTTACATGGATGTGCTGGGAGGAACAGAAGTCCAGCTGTGGCTTCAGGGAGATTCTGCAATGGCTGTAACTGGAACAGAAGCAGGCAGGGTTTTCATATACCAGGAAAATCTAGGAATCAACACAACTTTCATTATGGTGAGAAGCTGTCAAACTGCCAGGTATGAGCAGAGAAGCTCCTCATCTAAGTAAATCTAAGTCACCAGGTAAGTACCTGCAGGTGTTCTTGGCAAGGGTATTTCTTCAATCAATGTTTTATATGGTTAAAAAGAAACACCCCCACTGGTTTCATGGATGTTTTCATAGAATTACAGAATATTCTGAGTTGGAAGGGACCCACAAGGATCATTGAGTACAACTCTTAAGCGAATGCAGGGATTAAACCCGTGACTTGGTCCCATTAGCATGATGCTCTACCCAATTGAGCTAATCTCAGGGTTTTCCTGGGTATGCCACTTTTGGCTTTGATATTAGGGCAAATAATGGAACTATACTTGAAGGAATTGTGTGTCAGACTCTGTGCTCCCTGCTTTCTATGTAAAATTTCCAAGGATCAAATAACTGCAACTCTGGGTCAGCTATGATTTTAAGTAAGGGTGCAAATCTGTTAATTGCATTAATCCTAGTCTTTTTATTGGTTTTGATTCTATTTTATGGGGGAAAAATTAAATTTAAAAAGTTAAAAAGCATAAAAAAGTTTTCTTCTAGAAATGGGCCTGAAAGCAGGAGTTACTTCCTCAAGAGTTAGCCACAGTTAGTCAGATTGACTGTCTGAGGATTATAATAAAACACAAAAAGTTCCACCTCAACATGAAGAATCATTTCTTTACATTGAGGGTGGCAGAGCACTGGAACAGGCTGCCCAGGGAGTTTGTGGATCTCCCTCTCTGGAGAATTCCAAACCCACCTGGACATGTTCCTGAGTAACCTGCTCTAGGTGACCCAGATCCTGGCAGGGGATTGGACGGGATAATACCCAGAGGTCCCTTCCAACCCTAATGCTGTGATTTTTCACTATTTTCATTAGTTCCAGACAACAAATGCATTTATGAAATTTAGGTAATACTCTGGGCCACATCTGTACTATAAACATAACACTGAAACGCCTTCTGTAAACATCTGAAAACAACATGCTTTGGTGCAAATCCTCCAAAACTGGAAAAATTGGAAATGTGAAAAAATGCTCCCCAGGGTAGTTTTTGAGAATATTTCTTTCACTGCCCAGCTGACAACTATGTTCTTGGAAAAAGTTATTGACTTTTGAATGGAAAAAAGAACATGTATTTTTATGAAGGATATGTTTAAAAATACCACTCAGATTTCCACTAGGAAAGTTAGCTTTCGTTTTACTAAATTTTTTTCAGGAGGTTTCATTTTTGTAAAAGTGGAGCAAAGTCAGAATAAAAATTACCTTTTATCAAATTTTTGAATTAAAAATTAGCTGGACTATTTGCTAGTGTACATCTGCCTTGTATTTGTTGCTATTTCAGACAAATCTGAGTGGTCCAGCTTTTAATGATGTCTTGCTGAATCGAATAGTTGATCTTTTTTTTTCTTGTATCACTGAATACCAGCTGTATGTTTCACATACTTACACGCCAGCACATGAGCGTTTGTTGACACTGAACTAACCCTGTAATTGTCGGTGCTTACTCCACTGCACAGGTTCAAGTGCTTTTAAAGTACTGGAGATATGCTGGAAGTATTCGGCTGGGCTCAGGGGCAGCAGGCACTGCTCTACTTGTGGCTGAGCTGCCTCTGGGGAAGTGAGTAATACTGTATGTGCCTTCCTGCCTCCGTTTTGCTGTCTTTATCTGGACACGCAGCTCTGGCAGAGATCAGTCGGTCGCTTTCCAAGTTTCTCGTGCGGGGTGCGCGAGCACGACGTGCCCAGAGCTGGGACTGTGAAGTGTACGCTGCAGCACGGAGCCCGCCTCTGACAGCGCTGTGCAGGCAGACCCGCATTCCACTGGGGCCATCAGGAGAAAGTTAAATCAGCAC